GATTTGCCTAAACCAAGAAACACATGCCCTGGGGATTGAAAATTTGAGAATGTGCATTTAGGAATGATATACTAATATTAGATATAAATAATACTATAGTAATAGTATACATTTTATTTATATTATTTAAAAAAATACTGCCCGCGAATGATGACACGCGACTGAATACATCGTTAGATATATTTTTTTGCTCATGTGGCCCAAATCGGCCACGACTACTAAACCGGCATACATTATATCACACGTGGCCAGATATACAAAATGCGCCACTTTGGTGTGTGTCGTAAAAAGCAAATGCACGTCACTTGAGGTAGTCTAAAATGCAAAACGCACATCATACTGGCGTATGTCTCAGCAGTGACAATACAGATGCAACTTATATAGCACCCGATATATAGACTATAAACGTCTCATCTTTGACGTGAATTTCCTTTTTTATGACACACTCGAGTGACGTGTATTTGCTTTTTACGACACATACCTGAGACTATAATAGTCTAATCTAAGTCGTTTTTTGTTTATATAAACAAAAAACGACTACTTCCACTTTTGACGTCTGCTTACACTAATCAACAAGATCCTTATCAAGCAAATTTCACGTCTTTGTATATTCGTTAAGGTCGTTTTGATCATGGAAAATTGCTTATTATCACTTGCGAAAGAATTTATTGTAAATATTATCGGCAAAAGACATCCAATCAATTAGTTTTGCTCCATATCATGTAACTATCCTCTAAATGCATAACTCCTTGTAATGCATAAAATTTCTACGGTCCCGACGTATGCATTTAGAGGAGTCTCACTGACAAATCGACGTACCTTTTATGAGCGCGTGAAATTAAACAAAACGTCAGAATCTCTCTTCTTCATACCTAATTTAAATTGATCGCAAATCAATCGTAAATGCTACTTTATCACTTTTGACTTAAATTGACGAATTCTATTGTGGATTAGAGAAAAAGAAAAGTTGAGGACGAGTTTTTGACGGAAATTAGAGTAACATGTAGCCGTAGATTAAGCGAACACTAATATCACAGGAAAGAAAAGTTTAATCATTGGCGCAATATGTATATTTATTTATTTACGGGAGTTCGTTTAGCAGTGACTTATAGCTTAGCGGTAAAGAGCCATCCTGACACGAAGTGTGTAAGCAAGGCCATGAACAAGGTTTGAGCCGATGTGTTCTCGAAGCATAAAATTTGCTATCCGCAAGCTCTTGTGACCGAAACCTTTGGTACCGTTGTTGAGATATTCTCAATGCAAACCAGTTTATAAATATTTGTCAGCAATTTTGAATGTAGGAAACGGGTACGTCCTCCTCGTATAGCGAGCACTATACGTATCAAACGATTATAAAATTTTGGGGTATTAGATTGTAGAATTATCAGTTAAAGTGTAGGATTTATGACTACTATTTGTTCGTAAATAAACCAATACAGTTTCTTTGACTTGGAAGACTGATTCATTAACTACTCAGCTTGTGACTTTTGCATGTGGTTGTGAGGTTATGACGTCTCCTGAATGGTGGGTATGCACAAATATAGCCAAATCGGTAAATTGGCCAGTGTACCACATAAATGAAATGTGGGATTTGCATCCAGGGAGTAAATTTGAACAGTTTTTTCAAAGTTCCAAATCACTCAAAGAGATGATGATCGTACGTTCGAGAATTAACAGACATTCAATACGATTAACACTGCTTATTATCGTAATTATATTGTTGCAATGCACTGCAGTAAAACGTGAAGACTTTCGTACTTGCGCTCAGACTTCATTTTGTAGACGCAATAGAGCTTATGCTGATCGAGTATCTGACAATAACCTCATTTCACCGTACATTGCCACCCGCGAATCATTGAAATTGGATGGAGGAATATTATCTGGAGAGATTATAAATACTCTCACTTTGATCAAATTTACATTCACGCTTGATCTGTTGGAAGGCAACATGGCAAGATTACGTGTTAATGAGAAAAATCCAATCGCAAAACGCTACAGCCAGACATCAAAATACGTTCTGGTTGGAGAACCAAAGATTACCAAACATTATGGAATACTTGACACTAAAGATGATCCATTGAAGATGAATATTGTATTTGGTGATGATGAGCAAAACGAGCTTCTAATCTATTGCAGTCCGTTTCGAATCGAATTTTATCGACAAGAGAAAGCCGTTGTGGTGTTAAATGAAAGGGGGCTACTTAATTTTGAGCATCTGAGGGAGAAAACGGATAAATCGCAACCACCATTAGTAGATCAGTCGGGAGAGGGAGACAATGCAAATGAAAGTACGGAAAAAAAAGAAGAAGAAAAAGAAGAAGAAGAAGAAGAAGGGTTATGGGAAGAGACATTCAACGGAAAGGTTGATACAAAGCCACGAGGCAAGTAATGGATATGGTGATTTACGCACTAAACAACGTAAAAATGTTGGTTCCCATTCTTGTAACAAAATGTGCAGACGCTTGATTCAGAGCTTTCATCATTTACGCGTTAACTCACATTCATCTTTTTCGTTAGGCCCGGAATCTATAGCAATGGACATAACATTTCCGGGAGTTGAACATGTTTATGGCATACCAGAGCACACTTCTTCTTTTTCGCTCAAAGAGACACGTGGCGGAGATGAGGCCTATACAGATCCCTATCGTCTATATAACCTGGATGTATTCGAATACGAGATAGATAACCCAATGGCATTATACGGATCAATTCCGTTCATGATTGCGCACCACAGCGATTCGACGGCAGCGGTCTTATGGTTGAATGGAGCAGAAACATGGATTGACGTTGTTAAAAGTAAAAGTAAAGATTCGAAAGTAAGTATCCCTGTAATGAAATATTTACATAATCTTCCAAAAGATGATAACTACAAGCATACCGCGACTGCGGGATAAAATTTTTTTCGTGCAAACAGGCCGAACCTCTAGTTCAAACACATTGGATGTCTGAAACGGGCATCATTGACGTTTTTGTGTTCCTTGGCCCATCTGCTTCTGACATTCTTAAATCGTATGCCACCATTACTGGATTCACGCCTCTTCCAAGACAGTTTGCCGTTGGCTATCATCAGTGTAGATGGAACTATATCAACAAGAAAGACGTATTAGAAGTGGATGACGGGTTTGACAAACATGGCATACCATATGATGTTATATGGTTAGACATTGAGCATACGGACGGGAAAAAGTATTTCAGCTGGGATCCGACGAAATTTGCAGAGCCAGAAGAGATGTTGGAGAAACTAGATCGGAAAGGAAGGAGGGTAAGTTGCGTCGTGTAATTACAATTAGGTATTATAGAATAGCGATTGTGCATGTTGGATAACTTAATAATGAAAGTCTGACATTTATTTTAATCAACGTATACAAAGTTAGTGACAATCGTAGATCCTCACCTGAAACGAGACGATGACTACTATGTGTATAAAGAAGCCAAGGATCAAGATTTCCTGATCAAAAAATCCGACAACACCGTATTCGATGGGTGGTGTTGGCCAGGGAGTTCTTCCTGGGTAGATTACACGAACCCTAAAGCCCAAAAATGGTGGAGAGAGAAGTTTAGCTTTGATCAATATAAAGGATCTAGAGACAATCTGTTTATTTGGAATGACATGAACGAGGCAAGAAGATTTTACATTCATGTAGCACAAAATGAGAAAACGTTATGTGTAAAGTATAACATGCAATTTCATTGTAACTCTAAATTTAGCCTTCTGTGTTCAATGGACCCGAAATCACGTTTCCTAAGGACCTAGTCCACTACGATGGATGGGAACATCGAAATCTACACAACATTTACGGTCTTTTATTCGTAAGATATTATTCCAATGTTCTCGCTACTCTTTCAAACCTTTTACACAATATTCACGCGAAAAGGACGGACACTGGCTAAATTTTTAACACGATTTATGTAGCATGCAGCAACTTCAAGAGGAATTCGATCCCGCACTGATCCTCCACTTCGCCCGTTTGTCCTCTCTCGAGCATACTTTGCCGGTTCCCAACGGTACGGAGCAATTTGGACTGGCGATAACCATGCGACATGGTCTCACCTGCAAGCAACCGTTCCAATGCTTTTATCCAACTCGATCGCCGGAATGGCATTTGCCGGAGCGGACGTTGGTGGGTTTTTTGGCAATCCCGAACCAGAATTGTTGGTGAGATGGTACCAAGCAGGAGCTTTCCAGCCCTTCTTTAGAGCTCATGCACACATTGATACCAAACGAAGGGAGCCGTGGCTGTTTGGAGAAGAAAACACGAAATTAATTAGAAATGCCGTCAGAGAGAGATATGCATTGTTGCCACTATTGTATAGTCTCTTCTACGAGGCCAATGTTACAGGATTGCCTATTATGAGGTAAGGAGAGGAACAAGTTGATTTCTGGGGAGGAGGGGTTGGAGAGGATGACTGGGATAATTAGATGTAACAGAATTTTCAAATATGCAAGACATTTGCGTCAACATTAATACATTTTGCTGTCTTTAGACCAATGTTCTTGGTCCATCCTTCAGCTAAAGAAGCTTTTGGAATCGATGATCAATTCTACGTCGGTGACTCTCTCATCGTAAAGCCCATTACTGCCGAAGGCGTTGTGGTCACAGATGTTTATCTTCCAAGTGATGACCTTTACTATGATTACTGGACATATGCAGCAACCAGCGGGCCTGGTAACGTCCAAGTTGACGCACCTCTAGACAGAATACCTGTCCTTCTCCGCGGTGGATCGATAATCCCCCGACGACAGAGATTCAGGCGATCTTCTCACTCTATGCGATATGATCCGCTTACCCTAGTAGTCGCCTTGAATAAGAAGAGAGAAGCTAGCGGAAGTTTGTATCTAGATGACGGAGACAGTTATAATCACTTGGATGGCCATTATATCTATTGCAAATTTACATACAAGGATCACGTCTTAACGTCTGTATCAAATGACGGAAACGCAAGCAAGAATGAGTTTGCCAAGACGATAGACGGTGTGAGAGTGGAAAGAGTGATTATTGTTGGTTTGAAGAAAAAGCCGGACAAGATTGTAGCTAGACATACGGGAGATCAGAAGGGTATCGAACCCGTATTTTACTGGGGACGCAAGAACGTCATTGGAACTGGTATAGTTCATACGAATACCAACGAAGACGTGTTGATCATCAAAAATCCAAACTTGCTCATTCACAAAGACTGGGAAATCGAGTTGACGATTCGTGAAGGCTGGAGATACTAAAAAAATCAATAGATCGGAGAATATAAAGCCTAAAATAAATTGGCAATAATATAGAATTCTCTGTGCGATTATAAGAACTAAATTAAAAATAAAATAAAATAAAATAAAAATTGAGTCATTTGGTAACTGTTAACCATCGCAAGTGGACAAGTTTTTAATTGGGAAACAAAGTTCTTTCAAAAAAAGGTATTATGAAATTACGTTCTTGACCGGCAAATATTTAACTGTCTTCCTCTAATATGGTATAGATCATCCAGTTACACCAATGCTAACCATTTTTGGAGTTTCAATATTTTGTACCCTGCTAGAGTCTTTTTTGTCCATCGACTTGTTATTTCTATTACTATGGTCTGTTTATCACATTTCTTTTTTAATGATCTGTCGTTCAACTGTCGATACATTTATCGATCTAACAGCTTTTAACTGTAGGCGCGTAACAAAGAAAAAGCACAATCAATTCTTTATCGTTTTCGCGAGGCTCAGGCTGCAGAGCTCGGTCTTATAAGACAAAAGGAACGAAGACCATATCTAGCGTCAGAATGTAATAACAGGCAAGAAGCAGAAAAATGGCGACAGCAGATCGTTAGAGAGATTTCGAGGAAAGTGTCCAAAATCCAGGACGGTAAGAATTGTGAACGAAATGCAATTTCGAAAGACAGCAAGAAATTGGACGATTGGTTTGCTGAACAAATCGCTAATGGTGATTTTTATTAGCTGGATTGTCCGATTATCAGATAAGAGACTTGAACGATGAGATTAACAAGCTTATGAGAGAGAAGGGACACTGGGAAGACCAGATCAAAAAGTTAGGAGGCCCCGACTATAAGGTTTGCTTTGGAATTTTTTTGGTCGAATTGTCAATGTCATGATGGTCTTATTTTCTTTTTGGCCGATTGGTAGCGAATCGGGCCGAAAATGCTCGATTACGAAGGTAAAGAAGTACCAGGCAATAGAGGATATAAGTAAGTATAGCTGTCCAAATTGCCATAATATTAAATCAATGATCTCATCAGATCCCTTACATACACGTAATTCAGATACTTTGGTCGAGCAAAAGATTTACCTGGTGTACGGGAATTATTTCAACAAGAAGGTTTGTACATTAGTTATCTGCAACTCTTTAGATGCTTGCACAAAGTTCTAACGATTGAATTTAGCACCGGATCTTCCAAAAAGAACTCGGTTTGACTTGTACAAAAATGTGGATGCCGATTATTATGGTTATCGAGACGAAGAAGATGGGACGTTACTGGAATACGAAAGAGAGCGGCAAGCTCAAGGTATGCGAAGAGTATTTGCCTTTAACTTGAATGGCTATTGTTTTGACCTTGACATAACGTTCCTTTCATTCTAGTGATAGCAAAAGCGCTAGCGCTTCCTGACGAAACAGAGCCGATGGACAAATCTCTCCAAAAACAAAAACAAGCCGAAGCACGAACATCACTGATGGATATAGACCAAGAGGAAAAATATGTGGCTCATGTTGCTGTGCCGTCACAGAAAGAAATCGAAGAGTATTTGGTGCGAAGGCGAAAGAGACAAATGTTGGAGAGATATACGGAAGTCTCTTGATAATTTCAATAACGTGACATGGTCAAAAAGATCAATATAGCTGAACAATTATAACAATTCTTTGGTTAATTTGCGTTGATCGTCGGTTCCAGTTTTTGTAATGAACTGTGCCCCCCATCGAATAGCTAATAGAAACAAGTTATGGTGCGGCCGGCTTGGTGAAGCTCTATAAGATAGAAATGACGTCTCGATGTGCAGGAGTGCGTCTTTTCGAATTCGTGAACCCCTATGAAGGTTATTTTGGATTATCGACAATATTACAGCATTTGCTCTGCATCAATTCTATTTCAAAAAAGATCAAAGGTCAAAATCTTACACATATGTTACCTCTTCTTGAATAAAGTTTATACAAAATTTCAAGCAACTCCAAATGTTAGTTGTCAAACTGTCAGCTAATTAGTAATTCTCATTACTTTTGCACAGCACTACTGTATATTTGTAAAAGTTCGAATAACTAAACAAATTGTCTTTGCTTTCCCGAAAGAATTATTTAATCAGACCGGCCGATAATATGAGACACTTCCAGTTTTATTCAATAAACGAGAGTACCCATGTACTCTGAAACTATAAATTCTTTTCTTGAACAATCCGTTATAGAATTTGTTTGTAATAGTAATACTTGTCCCGTGATCAACTGAGTAGCATTACGATTACTTTCTCGACGCGTTGCAAGATCCCAGCGATAGACTACCGACGGTAGAGAATCATATTCGATCTCTGAGATAGTATCTAGGATTAGTCTGTACGATCCGAGTTAGACCGTCAGTACAATGATCGATGAGATGAGCCACGCACTTTCGAAGGCGCAGTTGTACCTTAACCGAGTTGATCGTCATACGCTCTACTGTAACTGAAACGGTGCGCGAATAAAGTTTTCGGAATAGAATGTGTGTCAAGTAAATGATATATTTTTCCCGAAATATGCGTCTAATCAAAAAGGTTGTCTAACAGGTTTATACGTTCTAACCTTATAGTACGTACTTTCACTGACAAAAAACGCAACCTCCTAACTTTACAATTCGCGCAGTTTATCTTATTTATTTACACTTCTCGTTTGTTACTAAATAAAGCCTTCATTTGACCAATATCGTAAGACTGTAGTTTCTCTATGGGCAAATGGTACTCATAAACTAACTTTTATTTCGCTTTCTACAATATGTGATTACCATTAAAACTTAAAAATGGGAACCTAAACCATGTTCTGGTTGACCTCGAAAACTCCCTTTTAATCAGCGTCGTTAATCCATACTCTATCTCTAACTTGCAAATATATTAAATAACCATTATCCAGACCTTAATGTCACAAGTCGTACAGTGCTTAATAAACTCCAAAATTTCAATACCATTGCACGTTCCAAGACCATGCCTCTGAATGCAAGAAATGCCATTTGGAGTTTGCTACAAAAATACAGAAAACGAATTTCTGAACAAAGACATTTTTCTGAGGCCACCATACAAATGTTTAGAATATTCAAGAGATGTATTATAAATCCGGTAAAAACCTGACAAAATCATGGTGAAAAAAGCACTTGCCATACAAACTGTGTATATACGTCAAGATCACGTCGACCGTGCAAAAACAATATTGATTTGCTCTTTGGCGAGAGTCTGAGCAAATACTAGCTAGTTTTTATAAAAATAATATTAATAATATTTCAATTGTTAGTCATATTAATATGTATCTTAACAGAAATAACAAATTTATAATCACTTTTACAAAGATGTGGGCCATAAAAATTTAAAATTTATGTTTCAACAGCAGAATAAATGCGACAATAAATTGGATAACATATTTTAGTTAGTGTACTATACCATAATTACACCTGCTAGCGAATAATAAAATTTAAATAGGAAAAAAAAAAGCTTGCTATTTTTTTGCTGTTTCGGTTTTCTCTCACCGTATCAATATTTGTTCACGCACAATATAATATACTTTAATTATAATGGATAATCTCATTAATCAAGACACGACATAATAATAACATTGTTAATACCGATGAGAATGTTTTAAATTAGCAATAAAAAAATTGCCTCCTGACTTTTCTATATCGCCCAATATATCGATGTTAAGTATAATAACAGTAGCAAGAAACTATTTTTGAACCAATTAATTGACTATAACATAATTGTTACTAATTTGAGATGTGTCTATTTTGTGTCCCGCGTTACTGACATAGTATTGATGTTTGCTTCCCAAATGCGGTAGGGAAAAGTAAGATTGTTACCAAATTAGTACACTTAGTACCATACTTTCATAACACAACGAATCGAGAACCGCTTGAATAAGCTGTTAACCAAGCTTTTTCTTATCTGACGCTGTAATTTTTTATCCCAGATATTACAGACTATTTTTGCTAAAACTATTTGACTGCTGTTAAATGACATATTGACGTATGATTGTAGTGCCAATATTTGTTATTACAAAAATATGGTAATTACTTATATAAGGATAACGTTTATTAGTATGCACATACTTTCAACTTTTGTTATCAACAATAATGGCTCAACTGCTGACAAAGGTGATTATATACAGATGTTTCATCCAATTGGAAATTCTTGAACGTTGTGTATTAACGTTATTGTATAGAATGGATGTTGAGCTTTTGTCGATCCATGTTGATTGATTGACAGTCGTGTCATTAGCCCCTTACGACAATTGGACTGTAAGTTGTATGGAATAATAACGAGTATGCGATGTTTCACATATCGTCAACAGCAAATCCTCATGCGTATTCATCACGCCCTTATATGTACAGAAATTTTCTGGCACAAAATAATCTTGGTTATTGCTACCAACCAAACTTTTAGAAAAAATAACTTGAAATAACTTCTCCCAGCAAAGAGGAAACATTCCAACTAAAAAAAAAATAGCAATCTAGAATTAACAATCGAGCAAGAAAACCCAATTTGAAAAGCTATAATTCCCTGCCGATTAATTGGGGAAAAGGGGGGAGCCCGAGAGAGCGCCGGCTTATTATAAAGAATGTGGACAATTCGTTCATAAGAAACCCCGGCCACCAAAAAAACCAAAGCAAAAGTCACACCCAAGAAAGAGACAAGTGAAGAGAAAGAACGAAATCCGTTAAAGATTTTGAAAATAAAAAAGGTTGTGCTCTTTCACACTCATGATTGATATCAGAAGCCAGGCTCACGACAAGAAATTACAGTATTCTTCATAATTAAATATAATGTTGTCCTCATTTGTCCAAAAAAAACGATGTTTTTTTTTTGTTTTTTTTTTTTCCCCGGCTTTTGTGTAAAATTTTATATACCCGCGTTTTTTTATTATTTTTTATTATTTTTTTTATTTATATAATATATATATATATAGTAATAGCATAGAATGGCATAGCATAGCTAAGACGAAGACTAAGACTGGCTCGTATTCTTTTTATCAAAAAAAATTTTTTGTGTACCGTTACTCTAATACCATTTTCTTTTTGCCTGACAATAAAAATTAACATAGTGAATGAAGAAATTACTCGCTTTCCCATGCCGTTTTGAAATTTGCATTCTGTTTCTCGTACTTATTACGCTGAAATTAATTTGCGAGCGTACCATCATTCAGTTCCTTTACTTACATAATGAAAGAATTAATTCTGCGTTTGCAAAATAAACAACGTTGTTATTTGTATACCTTAATTATTCTCTATTACGTATGTATTTTTAATTAAGAAGAGACCTGGTAATGTCTTTATTATTACTTAATTAAAATTATTGTTTTGTGTAAATATTGTCCGATTTAAAATAACTGTAAAATAAAAAATGTATTGAATAAGATGGTAATACCTGTATGGATAATCAGCGTCCAAATTTGTTTTTCATGTTTAATTGTCGCTGACGATATTTTTGGCTGCACAAGTTGATTATCAGATGTTAGCATAATAAATAAAAAGTTTGTTCACGCAACAAACTTTTTCAATCACTGCTAAATAATTTGTCGTTATTAAACTTGACCGGATGGAATAGTGCGTTCTTGAAGTAAATGAACGTTCGTGCTATGTTATTGACGTTTAATATATATCCACAGAAATCCTAATAATCGGTCATAATTAACACTAAGATGTCGTCAATAAGGACGTACCAAAATATTAGAATGTGCCTTTTGGAACTTGTCGATATAGACATACGTGACAGTTTTCCCGATATGCAAGTACATCAATCATCAGACAACGCTTACGCCTATGTCATCTCTATCTACGTCATCATTAACTGATCCTATAGAACTTTTGTCGTTTTATCGGACTTTCCAACAAGGATAAGACTTGTTTACAGCCACGTGCGTCTAGGAGCCGTCGCCACCAATAAACGACGACAAACTCGCTCCCAAGCTGTAACACAAATACCTTGCCTTATTGAGTAAACGCCAAATACTGTTGAAGAATAATGAACACTACAATCGATAAGGAGCAGATACCACCTTTCTTTGTTTAGAAAATTACCCGTAGATTGGCTATGCTTGCGTTTAGTAGACAAAGTGGAAAATTAGATTGGTTATATATGTGTAAGATTAAACTTCTATTTAAAATAATTTGCCATATTGTCACGTTCAGATGTCGCCCAGCATATTCACAATTTTACTATACTCAGTCGAGATTGTGTTTTTATTTTCGGTAAATGCTTCGACGTTCTTTGAAATTACTTTATTTTTGACATGCAACGATATTTAAATCAATAAACAAAACAATTTTCAATTATACTAATAATATGAATGACGTTATTGATTGATTATGTTATTCCAAACATTATATTATTATAACATGTGCATTTTAGATTTAAGGAAAGGCGTTACTGGTCTTGACTGTAATACAAGTGACTACAAAAGGGAGAATTTCTGATATTGTGTAAGTAACAGGAATTCAAAATATGATCGAGGAAAATTACTATGAAAATGACTGGGACCCAGTAGGGGAGGTTGACAGGATATCAAATCACACAAAAAATTTTACGACATAAATGATGTTATGAATTGATAATGATCAAGCAAATTTTTATGTAAC